GTATAATTAATCATTTTTTCACCATCTGGCCTTTTCATTTCTTGTTCCCATTTCAAATAAAAATTCAGTAGGGTCGTCCGACTGGAACGCTGCGGTGAAACAACAGTTGGTCAGAGCAAATATCATTTGGCCTGAATTGACATACGTCAAAATTAGCTTTTTCCTCTCGAATATAGTCAAAAAGGATGGCACCTTTAAGCGGAAAATTGCTCGCTTTCTGCCATAATACTTAGAAAATCGTTCTTTTCTACACCGGAACTATGAAGCTTGATTTGAATGCTAAAAATCATCAGCTAATCGTCGTGTTTATGGGGAAAGAGGGAAGGGACTGTTTGACTTCAGCTACAGTATCAAGCGTGAAATATGATACAGCCCCATAGATTTGGGAGCAATGATTGAAGCCACGTCATTGCCGATCGGTGACGTTATGAAGTGGTTTTAAAAGCTTCTCGTTTTCTCTAACTGATGAGACAAAAAAAGGAGAAAGAGGGAAGAGGGAGGGGGAAGGGAAGGAGGAGTGAAGATAGAATTATGTAACTTCCTCTCTTTCTCTCTCTACACTTTTGTACGTGGTACTAGAATTGTCCACACAAAATATATCTGAAGCAGGCCAGTATCTAGCCAAAATGCTGCTAAAATCTTTTGGGAAGTACCATCAGTAACATCAAAACACTACAAAAATTCAAAATTGAAGTAAATGAAACACAAAAATGGGACAAAAGCACACTTGACAAGGCTTTAGCTGTTTCGAAATATCGTTGAATTGTATTTAGGACTTCCACCTCAAAAGTCTTCATTCCTATAGCGCGATGCCGAATCGCAGGAAGACACTGTAAGAGTGATACTGAATTATTTTACCGTATCCATAGCCTAGATATATCACTCATAAATTTGGTTAAGACGTATATGACTTAATGGACCGAAACGTCTTATCTCACTCTCACCATCAGCCTTCATTACTTTCTCCTGCACTTGCCCATCCTACCATCTGCGCTTCCAGGGTTGACCTGGAACCTGCAATCTACTTGCTGTTTCCTGTGCTAAAATACGACAAATCTACTTGTAACGTTTCGTACTTAAACAATTCAGGATTGGTTGGTGTCGTATCTACCATATCCACGATTTTCGCGATGCTGCAGCTTCAACCAATTCGTGTAGTACTTACTTTTTTCCTGAAATTTCAGACTGCGATGCCATGGGGCAGTGACGGCGCCGGTGATGCTGAAGCAGCTGGAACGAGCAGCGGCTCTCAGAGTCTACGGGATGAAAATGTTCACTTGCGAAGTGTTAGCATGACAGCACTTGAAAATCGACAAATCATCCAGAAAAAGCGTGGAACTGGCACGGTTGACGAGGATGCCAAAAGTCAGCAACTTGCACCACACCAACAAATCGGATTTTTGAGGCGGACATTCAGTTTTCAGGTCTATTTTTCCTGCATTTCTCATTTTTAACTTTTTTTTTCTTTTAAATTTTCAATTCCAGGACAAAAATTGAAACGAAAGAATAGGGCAATATGAATCCAAAGCATGGTAACATGAAAAACTCAAAAATAGCTTTTTCGCTTTTCACCTACTCTTCCCCCTCTCCCGAGCCTTATCCGGATTCCGTTTTCTAGACTTTTCTGAACAACAAATTAAACGTTTTAATGGTTTTCACTATCAATCCTATGCCATGCATATATCTCTGGCTGTGGTTCAAAATCCGCATCGAGTGAAACCCAGGCTGGAACGCACCAGGCGGGCCGGAGCGATTATGCGTTTTTGCACTTTCGTACCGT